CTCCACGGTGACGTGTCTTCTCCACGGTTTCGTCACAGCGGCTGTGTTCTGGTATAAAAGCCTCTCTCTAAGACACGCCCCTGCAGCAGTCAGAGGGTGGAGCTGTTAGCTTAGCATGATCGTTGGTTACAGCTTCGTATTAGCATGTTAGCGGCTAACATCACTAGAACACAATCACACACACCGTATACAGGACCCAGAATTTGGTGCTACACCCCTGGACCAAGGCATTGTTACTGAGTAATGCAAATTTAGTGTGTGTGTGTGTGTGGGGGGGGGGGGGGGTCCCTACCTGTATTGTTTTATAAATTAGGTCCTGGAACAGATAGAAACTGCAGTTAAAAACATAGTTGTTTTTCACTAAAACAGGCAGGTTGACTCCCAGTTGAAAGGTAAAAAATGAAGATGAAAATCCACAAAAACAGATTTATCTTTAGTCAAGCTGATCAATCCTATATTATTGTTTCTCAATGATAGCAAGACCAATCAGATGGGAAAATGTTTGGCTACAGTTTGACCAAAACACTGAATAAAAGCCAAAATGTCAATAAAAAGTCAATAATCAGTCGAGTTTGAAACTTTGACCCTTGAACTGTGAAAAGAAATAAACTCTTATCAGAGTCTGTAAACTGTTTTATAACTTCACACTGAAGTGTCTAAAAACTCAGTGCACCAAACTCCATTCAATTTTGTGTTAATTTAGGGTTTCATCAGGTCAAACAGTCTTTACTTACCCTTCAGAAAGAAACCTGAAAAAACTCTAGGTTTAAACTTTAAATGTGTCCATCCGGTGAGTCCAGAGTCCAGATCTGCTCCAAGACCAGGTTCTGATCCGTGAGCAGCTCAAACCCGTCTCTGCCGGTTCACTGGCAGCAAGCTGCTGGACCTTCAGCTGCTGTGGAAAACTAAAGTTCTGACAGGAGAGGAAATTCCTCACAGGAGGACGGGTTCGGTCCGACCGAAGCAAAGGAAGTCACGTGACCGAGCAGCTGCAGGTCAGCTGATCAAACTGCAGCTGATTCGTGTTTCCGTCTCTACAATCCGACAGTCACGTGCTTGTTCCGCCTTTGTTTTCATAGACATATAAAGGCTAGATAAGTCGTACCCACCATAGATATACAGTATAAAGGCTAAAATCAGCTGTTGGTCAGTGGAGACCAGCGGCCATCTTGGGAAGGGCAGCTGGCCCACTCCTAACCTGACTGTGTGTGGTTTCTTTACTTTTTAAATAACCATAACTTGGTCACTTTTGATCGGATTTTCAAACAGATTTTTTTGTTGTAAAGGCGAGACATGTTGTTATAAAATGACATACTTATAATGGACATTCAAATAATAATTACGTTATTTTGATAGGTAATGTAATATTAATATATACACACAGAATACATTTACATTACCTTTACAGGTATTTACAAATAAAATATAAAGCAAAATTATACACAAGTCTATAAAATTGTATAAAATGTGTACTAGTAGTGGTAATTAATATGAAAGAACCATATTGTTTATATTTTCTTCCCTAGACGTGCAAATATTAGCCTAATTATTYACACACTGATGGGTGTGACCCACACCAGAGCCAGGAGGTCCAGTGTCTTGTCCAGGGACACTTGGACCCCCAACTCACATTAAAGAGTCCCTTAACCACTCAACCAGCCCACCTGAAACACCAGATAACTGATGGCCAATGGAGACGTTGTCACACGGTGGCCATATTGCCACAGGGAACCTGCCCACTTGTGAATGGTGCATGTACTATTAAAATAATTAAAACTTGCTCAATTTATAACAGATTTTCAAATAGTTTGGTTTGTTGTGAATGTGTAAAGTGTTGGTTTAATGTCCTCATTAACCACTGGGCATCCAAGTGRTGTTCTGAAAACAACWTCAGCTCCGTGGATAACKGGAGTTGGTTCTGGGGAAACCTGGTCTGATGCAGAGAGATGTCATCCATCCCACCCTGACTGGAGCTGCTCTCCTCTCTAAGGATCCAGCTGACTGTTGACCACAGGACTTATTGACAATCCAGGGTCCAGACTAGGAGACAGAGTTGTAGTCTTACACACCTCTCTGCTGCTTCTCCTTTATTACCAACCCAAACCCCCATTAACATTGTGTCAGCCCCACGGACCAAATTAAATAAATATAAAACTCTAGAAAAATAAATCATAAAAATCTTATAAAAATAAACACAGTTACTTTACCAGAACAAAACAATACAACTATTAAATGTGGTTTGTTAAATATTAGATCTCTTTCTTCTGAGTCTCTGTTAGTTAATGATCTGATAACTGATCATGTTGATTTATTCTAACTGAAACCTGCTGACAACAGGAGGATTGTGTTAGTTTAAATGAATCCACTCCTGATAATTATTTAAATTTTCATGTTCCTACAACAACAGGTGGTGGTGGAGGAGTAGCTGCAGTTTATAAGTCTGAACCATTAATTAATTAATGTTAAATCTAATATTAGTTATAATTAGTTTGAGTCTTTGTCCCTCAGTCTTTCTCATCCAAAATGGAAATCAGAAAAACCACTACTACTAACTGGGGCGGCTGTGGTAGAGTGGTTAGGGGAGTTATCCTGGAACCAGAAGGTCACCAGTTCAATACCCATCCAGTCAACTCGGTCATTGTGTCCTTGAGCAAGACACTTCACCCACCTTGCCTACTGATGGTGGTCAGAGGGTCCGGTGGWGCCGGTGCATGGCAGCCCCACCTCTGTCAGTGTGGCCCAGGGCAGCTGTGGCTACAGTGTAGTTTACCATCAGCCAACCAGGGCACAACATGTCCCCTAATATTGGAGACAGGTGCAGCTGTCCAACATCTGAAGGACAAAAAATAGATTTTGAAATCTTTTACTTGTATGCTTTTATTTTGAAGGTGCAACAAAGGATCCTGTCACTGTGTTTAGATTAGTGTTGTGTTCACACCAAACACATTTTGAGTGTCAGGGTTATCAGGTGAACATGCAAACTCTATGGTGGACACCTGCCAACGAGCATCAGGAAGTGCTGCAGCGTGTCTACTGAGGTGTGTTTTAAACGTTTTAAACTGTTTTAACCATTCGATGCACGTTTTGCTCATTATGTGCGTCAAAYGCTGGAGTAGGAAAATCTGAAAAGTTTGCTGCTGGACGTGGAGCATTAAACAATCAGAGAGACTCCACTGTGTGACGTAGTGACACGTTTTCTGATGGGAATGATGTCCACTAACCTGAGACAGACAAGAGCTCTTTAGCTGAAATCGAGTGTCTGTGGACGACGTCCTGGCAGAAAACTGAGTTGAAATAAAAAGATTTTCTACTGTTATCTAATTGCTGGTTAATTCTTTTAATTTATTTTTCACGTGTAGTTGAAATATTTTTATCAGAACTGTTGTGAAAACATTATTATTTATTTTATTATTACCATACATTTTTTAATTTGTTGGTCTTCTACAACAGTTCCAATTTTAATGTTAATAAAAAAAATTGATGTGTTTTTTTCACCAAAGCTGCAGAAAAATGCTCATTTGAATTTTTACAGCATTTAAACTGTAGAGAGGACATTTTCTATCTGTTGTTTGTCCTGATCTGACCACTGGATGGAGCTAAAATGTTACTTTTAAATCCATCCATCCATTCTTTCATCCATTCATCCATCCATACATGTAATAATTCACTCGTTAATCCATCCAACCATTTTCTTTACCTCTTTCTACCTTTTTGGTTCATGGCCAGCTGATGTTTGTCTCTGGCAATTACAGTGGGAGAGAGAGGGGCCACCTGGACAGGTGTCCAGTCCACCACAGGGACACAGTGAAACAAATGAGACAAACAACATTTACTCTCACCCAGGGACCAGTCAAAATTCAAACCTGCATCCAGCCTCTCATAGCAGGGTGTAAAATACTAACAGGAGATGGTACTGTGTACCATCGTTGAAGAGTTTCAATTGGAGACCCCTAGGTCAAGGTGGGAATCTCCTCCCAAGGTGGAGAGTGACCGAGCTGAGATCCTTCCAGATTTAAAGACAGGGTAGTAATGGCTAACTAACATTGTGATCATTGCTGAGCAGCAGTTGGAATCAGGGGCACAGATGGGTTTTTGAACTGGGGGGACGAAGAATTCAACAAATCATTTCAATCCAAGTTATTTTTGTGTAATTTGGGTTTATAGAGCTCAAGTAGTTACTCTCATAATAGCCTACTGGTGAATGATAGTCATTGTAGAATTATTTGAAATCAAGGATAAACAATAACAAACTTTGTTAAAGAAACACCTTCCCACTCAACACTAGCCATACATTTCAAAACTGTTATTTGTCTGGAGTACCAGTCACAAACCCTAACCTTCACACTTCATCAGTGGAATACCACAATACAGAATGACAATCAACTAGTTTCATACGACAGAGGAGCACAGGTGGTGCACCGCAGATGTGTTGGTATGTCCTCTCTAACATTCACACCTGAACCGTCACCACTGAAAATCCTTAAAGGGCCAACATCATGTAAAATCAACTTCTTTGAGTTTTATATCATGTTATAATGTTAAACTCTCATAAAAAACATGTCCAAAGCCTTGATCTGACTCATTCATGCATGTTAGAGAAATCCTGCAGTGTTTTTATGAAGCCATGCGGAGGAGCAAAACGACAGGTGGGACCAGAAACACCTTTTGGTACCAGGAACACCTTTTGGGACCAGAAACACCTTTTGGTACCAGAAACACCTTTTGGTACCAGAAACACCTTTTGGTACCAGAAACACCTTTTGGTACCAGAAACACCTTTTGGGACCAGAAACACCTC